GAATTTTAATCGGTGAAGAGAGATATGGGGTATCTGCAGCCACTCAGTCATGAAAGGGTGTCAGGAAACTTCTTGGACACCTCTTAGAGGGAAGCAAAAGCAAAGCAGTCTAAGAAAACTAAGTAGCCATCATAGAATAAAGGCATAAAATACAAGATGGTTGGTTTGCTCCCACAGAAATGGTCAAACACAACTTGTCTGGCAGACAACACTGAGAAGGTGCATATGGCATTACGCTATCCTTATAGAAAAAAGTCTCTTAGCGCATTGTGCACTGCTCCTACAATTGGTAAATACAGTGACAGATCTAAGTGATGGTTTGATTAAATGGAGTGGATCATAGATTTTTTTTTCCCCCTAGTAATGTTGGGTATATTTAACAGATAAAATGCCCAGTATATAGATGGATGAGGTTTTAGATTCAAGAGGAGTCTGCCTGGACACAATATTTGAGGGTGGATGGATGGCAGAGGGGCAAACCACCTGCAGTGTGGTTGGATGGACAAGGCACATTCCTACAGAGAAGAAACAGAACATAGGCCTGGTCACCCTTGAACCAAAAGCAACTGCTAGCCTACGTTAAGTACTGCTTGGGATGAAGGCTGCTGAAAACTGAGCTTTCGGAGACTGGGTAGACACTTCCAGATGTGAGACCTTGTCTCACATCTTTGTCCACCATGGACATGGCATGCCCACGATTCCCTTCATGTACTGAAAGACTTTAGTAAACTCCCCGCTATACACCATAAGAGAAAATATCCTGTACCTACCTCTATTTCTGAAGCAAATGATTTTTGAGATCAAATAGTAGTTCAGTTATGAAGTTTGTAACTTGGTTATTCACCTCAGTATAGTAAGCACAGTGCTTAATACAACTAATACAGACAGAAAAATTTAAGGAGACACTATTCAGAGGAATTAAAGGAAAGGTTCAGTAGTTGACTGACATAAAATTTTCTAGCTGGGAGCAAGATAATTATTTGATGATATATAGAAAGAGAGAAGGAAAGAGAATGTAAGAGAAAGTGAATATATAGTCTTTTATCTAGACATCACAATGATTTTTTCTGGAAAAATTAATAATTACACCAATAATTGAAACTGAATTGCTTACACTATTGAAAATACATATAGAAAGACTGGAATGCACACTGCTGTTGAGGGTAGTGTAATCATGAAGCTGCAGTCACATAACTGCTCTCAAAACAGCTGGCACCTACTATTCTCAGCAGAGATGAACCTAATTGTACCTTACTATGATACCTATTTTCAAAATGGCTATTTCCTCACGTTGTTTCCATGTGATGGAAATCAAGCTGATCCTGAGATGATGATGTCCCCTAATGCTTTCAGAAATTGTGATGGATCAAATCTCAAGGACAGAGAGAGAAATCTCCTTGCAAGAGCCCAGACAAGTAACAGCTACCTTGAAAACATAAAGGCCGGAGAAATTAAAATTACCAAGAATATAAGGTGTTACAGATCCTTAATTTTAGAGAAAAAGAGTAATTTTTACACTTAGAATTAAAGCATCCTGATCCTTTGCAATGCCGCTAAATATAAAATCCCTATCAGACACATCTAAATCATGTTCTCTTACATTGCTTATTAAAATATTTATCTGACTAGAATCTGTAATTTGAGTTACGCAACTATCAGCACTATCACTTTTACGATTGAATGCAATCAATAATATTGAGAAATATTATTTCAGAAATATTATTCAGGAGAAATACAGATCCAAAGTGACAACAATAATCTACAAAATAGCATTTCACAGTTAACACACTTCAGAGTGAGAATTTTCCAGACAGCCCACTGGAGATAACAAGCATTCAGACTAATCTCTGAAACAATGCATTTAGCAGTAGCTGGATAAAATGGGGGTAAAAGCCAAGAAAAACAGAATTTTGGGGTAGCATTTAAGTTCTGAACAAAATCTTGACTCATTTTTCATGTACATGACTCGGCATCACTGCAATTGCTTAAAAAAAAAAAACCATGCCTAGTTTTGCTTAACCGTGCTCTAACTTTTCTCTAAACTGGAGACAGCATTTATGGTAAGCATAACCTAATTGATGGTTATGAAATGATGAAACCATTTAGACAGATGTCTGATTCTCCATGGACATTTTTTCTCCAGGAGAAACAAGAAAGGCCTGCAGCCTTAACCGTCTTTTCTGAATTTATGGTGGCAGATCTGTCCATCTGGATTAGTGTCATCTGCCCTTTTAGAAAAATATCAGTGCCTGTAAGGCTTTCAAAGATAAATTATCTATGTGAAGGAAAGATTCCATGTTGACCTACTGATTTCTTTTTTCTATTAAGATAAACTCAAATGAGGGTTTTCTCCAAAAAGGCAACTATATTTACAACTTCCATCAAAACTATCCACTAAAAATTTGAAAGCACTAAATGTTACTATGCTTAATACTCTACAGACTGTCCCTAAAAGTTATAAGGTCTTCCTAAAAAGAGCTAACTTAAAAGGAACTGACAAGGCAAATACATTATTACTGCAGCTGTGATACTTGGGCAGAATCACTGAAGATATCTTGAACCAGAGTTGGAGAAGTAGAACTCACTAAAGTGGAGCAGTTTGCAAATAGCAATAGATCTGTCCATTGCAGAAGTATTGCAAAACTGAAATAACATAGCAAATACACCCAGTCTTTAGGAAAAAAGACAAGAATAACAACTGTCAAATAACTTGCTCACTGGTTCAGCATCTGTAGTTAAATAACACAGCCAAAATTCTTTTCACAGAAAGAGATCCTACCAACAGATCCATTGCAGAGGATAATGCTATGAACATCCTGTAAAAGCACTAGCTCACAAGTTCAGGCTGGCAATACAATGTACCACATGTACACTCAGACGTTTGCACGTAACAGCTGGATGCCACTTTATGTGCTATTTCTTTCCCTATGCAAATGCAATAAAATAAATTCATTAACAGTAAGATGACATGAATGATATTTTATTAAAGGATGAAGGGGTAAGAGTGCATGATGTGGATGGTAACGTGCTACTTCCTTCTCCTAGCAGAGAAACATACATAAGTTACTCTAGGCAAGGAACGACAAATGAAATGCCTGTCCATTCTTGGTAATGCAGGAAAGACCATCAGCTTCTGTCCAGAAGTAATGTGAATATAAAACATAAGAGATTTAGCACAAGCTCTTCCTGCTCTGTTTGACTAGTTACTCTCCATTTCTATAAAGAGATAAAAGAGCAAAGGATCTTGTAACACAGGATTTCTGAAGGACTACAGGGGGGGGAAAAAAAAATGAAGAAACAAAATCTGTTAATTACAGATTTTCATCAGCCCTGGATTAGAGGCCCCATCTTCTTTGAAGGTTCTAGTTCACTGAAAGCAGTAAGTACTAGTGCTACAAATAAGAAGACAGAATGTAAAACTGGGTTAAAATGACATTACCATTTTCCAAGTAACACTCCTAACCACAGAACAGTTAATATTCTTTTAATAATTTAGCTCTTCACATATTGTTTTCCCATGGCACCCAGTTAAACAGAAGAGGGTAAATTAACCTAAGCTCTTTGCACCTCCTGTGACAATAGCACGCTTACAAACCTGTGGATGAAAGAATGCAAAACAGAACCATAAATCAATGTTTTGATTTTTAAGCTTCCTAACTTCCAAAAATTACATTTCTGCATTTTTTTCATTTACAAAAGTTTGTAGAAAGCATTCGAAACTAATAAAAATAACTCAACAATGTGAGTTGGTTACACTAAGTAGACTATTTCAACAGCAATTTATATTTGAAAACTCGGTATTTCCCATTATGAGATAGCCTACAATAAATGAGCAGTCATTGCTCAAGGTGTACTTCTCTAAACAATAAACTGAAGAAGACAAATATAATCTCATTTTATGTCTTCAGCAGCTGACACATCCTATGGAATTTGTTGTATATACTGAGAGTAAGCAGAAATACTTTGTTTAGCTTTCAGATGTATAAGCGAAGAGATACAAGTACCGATATGTACTTTTGATTTTGTGTTAGTGTACTAGGATACATAAATTGAAAGAAACTTTTTTTTTTTTTTTATTTAAACTGATTTACATTGTTGGCTGACTTTCATTCTTACACTGAAAGGAAATATAAATGTTATTTCCACCCATAATAATGAGATAATAATGAGCTGAATCAGGCATCAGTCTTGTATACTTTCTTGAGATTCAGATTACAAAAACTGCAAATTCAATTTTTTAAAAATAAATCAAACCACACCTTCAGATGTGATTGCTGTTTTTATTGCTTATAAATAGCTATTTACATCTATCAAAATACAGTCAATAGCCATCTACCTTCTATATCAAAACAGGCTGTTTTCCTCATGGGAATCTGAGATGAGAATGTTGGTAGTCAGGAAGGGTTACACTTAGTCAAAGAAAGAAAGAAAGAAAGAAAGAAAGAAAACACCTGAAAACTGAAATATTAAATGCCAGTTTCATCAATGGCCTTTAACATGCAGGCTGAAGGAAGCAGAGTTTATAAGCAGTGTATAAGGAGAGTCTCGAGAAGAAGTTGCCTGTGAGTTTGATATTTAACAAATAAACCAAAGATTATCATTGCTCTATTATTAATACTTTGCATAATTATTCACAATAAGCTTGAGATTGCTGAAGTCACAAAAGTCTTAAAATGGAAAAAAATTCATATGCGTTATCAATCAGCTACCACTCTTGGTACTCATTCAGCCAAAACTTGATAGAAAGACATGACTTCAGTATAACCACTATTTTACCCTTCCTAACAATCTGAACAGTAATTTGCATCTGAAAACTCATTCAGTGATCTAGCTAACCTCTAAAGGCAATTCAACAATCATTTAACTTACTGGACTAAAAAAAATCTTTAATTGAATTGTAGCATAGTTCTGCAGAAAACCTTCATTTTCATGTATGTGCTTTATCTATTTAAAGACATCCGAGTACGCCGTATACAGTGGCACAAGAAAATGGATCTTACCACTGCAGCTGGAACTTGATGCATTTTTGCAGCTGGGGTTCCTGGGCGTGGGTAAAATTGATTAATAAACAAGCTCGGAAACCTGTACTGTTCTACAAGTTTCATTGTTTCTTGAAAATCTTCATCTGTCTCTCCTGGAAAACCACAGATGATGTCTGTAGCAATTGTTATTCCAGGCACTCTGTAAAGAAAGTAGAAAGGAACACTGAACTAAGGACATGTAAAAATCTTGTTCCCTTAAAAGCTAGTGTACATAGACTTATAACTCTTCAATTTTATCTACAGAAATTGAGACCTAAAATGACCTTTGGAAAAAAAATAGTGAAGATTTTAATACCATTGCTTGGTAATGAAAAATGCATTTGGTACTCAGCCGAGAGCACACGGAACAGAAGAAAGGTATTGCGGCAGATACTAGATTAGGATTGTGACAGAAGAGTGAAAACATCGGGACCAACTCCTCCTTCATTCAAAATTATAGGTGAACAGCAGAGCTTGTAAATTTCTCAAATTCCAATTGCTTAATCCATAAAATTTACAACTTCTGAGACTTAGCCACCAGAATTTGTAAACTATTTAACATATTACAATGCTGCTATCCAAGTAGAACAGGATATCCAAAAGAGGGGACTGGCATGCCATATAACCTAGCAATTTTGAACAAAATTGGCTTTGGAGCCAATAAGACATCTCTTAGTCATGAGTTAATGTCTAACTCAGTACTCCATAAAATCAGCCTATGCCTTGCTTTAAAAGGAAAACAAAATACTTACATTTACAAATGCACAGGCACTGAGCTCTCTTGTTATTTAGCAAGGTCAACATTTCCTATCTGTTCCCTTTGGACTGAATATGCAGAACACTTACACACAGCAGCTTAAGAGAGCGCAGCTAACAGAGGCAGCCAACAGACGCAGCAGTTAGCACAGCAGGGCGCAGAGAAGGGGGTGGAGTAAGGGGCCCTCAGTTGAAGCTGTGCCACAGTAACAGTCTTGGACATGGTGGTAACACGTCACCGAGCATTCTCCCCAGTAGATGTTGGGGTAGCTGTCCGTGCTAGGGTCGAGGCTTGCACCCAGACTGAGCTTCAGATGGTGGATGCAGCCCTCCAAGTCCCAGGCTGCAGGGAGCCCCTGGGGACTCTCTCTGATGCCAGGAGAGATGGCCCTCTGTCCTGCAGTAGCTGTGCTGTCTTGGAGGAGCTGTGCCTCCAAGTGGAGGAGTTATGGAATGAAGTGAACAGGCTGCACAGCATCGAAGATGAAAGGGAGACAGACAGGATCTTCTCTGCAACTCAACAGCTTGAAGAGCCTCAGCCCCATCTGCAATAGAGCAGCAGGTAGTATCAACCCCCGCTACCAAGGGAAGCAAAACCTCTGGAGAAGGGGAAGGATGGAAGCTGGTGACTTCTGACACCAAGAGGAAGGATCTTGCCCCACCTAAGGACTTAACAACTGCAAAATAAGTTCATAACCCTCAAAGTTGAAGAGGAGCCAGATGTGCCCACAAGCAAAGTATCCAGTCGACCTAACCCCTAAACCACGCAAGACTATCAGGAAGAAGCGGCGAGTCATCGTAATGGGTGACTCCCTGCTGTAGGTGACACAGGCACCCATCTGTTGACCCAATGAACCATCTAGAGAGGTTTGCTGTCTGCCAGGGGCCAGGATCCAGGATGTTGTGGGGCTCATCTGGCCCTCTGACTACTACTCCCCTGCTGTTATTTCATGTGGGCACAAATGATACTGCGAGTGGAAACCTGGACAGTATTAAAAGTGACTACAGAGCTCTGGGGGGCAGTAGTCAAGGGCATGGGGGCTCAGGTGGTGTGCTCCACATCAGGAAACGCTTTTTTACTGAGGGTGACCGAGCACTGGCACATGTTGCCCAGGGAGGTTGTGGAGTCTCCCTCCTTGGAGATATTCAAAAGCTGTCTGGACACGGTCCTGGGGAATTGGTTCTAGGTGGCCCTGCTTGAGCAGGGGGGGTTGGACAAAATGACCTCCAGAGATCCCTTCCAACCTCAACCCTTCTGTCATTCTGTGACATGGCCCAGAAAAATGAGTCCTACAACCAAGAGATTACTGCATGGTATTTACAGAGCACTATGGGACCCAAGAGATATCAACTCAGTTTTCCAAATCTGACTGTTGTGGTTTAACCTCAGTCAGCAACTAAGCACCACATAGTTGCTCGCTCACTCCCCCCACCCGGTGGGATGGGGGAGAGAATTGGAAGAGCACAAGGGAGAAAAACTTGTGGGTTGAGATAAAAACAGTTTAATAATTGAAATAAAATGATGATAATAATAATAATATGATAATAATAATAATAATAATACACAAAGCAAGTGATGCACAGTACAATTGCTCACCACCCACT